CCCAAATAGCCATCAAGTGGACATCTGGTGTGGTGCTGTAGGATCAGCGTAGTATCCTGCAGTGCCACTCCACCATGCATACAATGCCAATCCACAAAGGAGTCCTGGTGTGGCACGGTAGCATACGCTACTGACTACAATGTTGGTGGTTCAAACCCATCAGCTACTCCTCAGAAACCCTATACAGGGTCACTATGGGTCAGAACTGACTCAATGACAATTAACAACAACAATACCCATAAGGTGTAGGACCATGCAAACAATGTCTGTGGTACCATAATGAGGAGACTGGTTAGGTTTTCCATTCCACTAAGCTTAAAATGAGCCATCCCAAAGATATAAAGGGAAGCTGACTACCACTAAGAGACAGGAAGGGAGGGACTAAGTCCTTCAGATCCAGGGTCCCTGCACAGGGAATCTCCTAGACCCAAGAGACTGAACACCAGAGCCAGTGGGAAGCGGTGTCAGAGACACAGCAGTTAACAGAACCAGGACACTGGCTGAAGACAACACAATGGGCTTCCTGTGCTATCATGGAGTGAGAGAGCTGAATGCCTTTGGGAAGGAAGCACCTGGCCGAGCTAGGCTCACCAATACAAACCTGTGGCAGGGGAAAGCCAAGAACACTGGTAATTGGGCAAGGCTTCCTGAAATGCAGGGTACCTCTGGGCACTTACCAGGGAAGCTAACGAGCTTTGTAGCACCTGTGTAAGCAGAGCAGAGGCCAAACAGCACAAAAGGTCCAATGGGAAAAAGGGCCAGAGAGAGGCCTGCTTGGGAGCACAGCTGAGAAGAGGCTATCTTGCTAGAAGAACTATAGCCTGAGTCATTTGTGACCCTGAAATGTTAAGCTGCTACCACCCAAATAAAGCAGCTCTGGTAGCACCGTGGTTACGAATCGGGCTGCTAATCTCACGGTCAGCAGTTCGAAACTACCAGCTGTTTCGTAGGAGAAAGATGAGGCTTTCTGCTTCCGTAAAGATTTATAGCCTTGGAAACCCTGTACAGGGTCGCTATGAGTCGGCACCGACTCCACAGCTCATAACCACCACCCAAATAAACCCTGTAACTCTGAGAGTGAGTGATCAGTGAGTTCTATGTGGCCACTGCAACAAATCATGGAAGCCAGCAGAGGAGAGAGCTGGTGTCAGAACTGATGAAAGGTTGAAGAGAAGAGGTATGTCTGACCTCCACCTCTTAGGACTCAGCCTTGGGCTGAGGCTGGTGGTGATTCTGCCCCTCCTAAAGTCAGACGCGCTCAGGTGCCTCCACCCTCCATTTTCACAAACAATAAATACACACGTGCAAGTTATTAGTAATGCTCTAGTTCTTACACTGTGTGAAAACTGTACCCTTTATTATCCCTTGCATATGTGCTATGTAATTCTTTGGTGTCAACTATTGTATTAAAATGCTTTAAAAGAAATAATCAGACACTATAAAAAAAACCCACTCATCATTCAACATTTTTTAGAAGCTTAACGAGGCATTCAGAATGTCCTGCAAAATTTTACCTTTGTTTCTGTTTAACTGCTTTGTCCAAGTGCTGAAAGATATTCTCAAAAAGGATGCAGCTGGATTGACTATTAATAGCATAGCCATAGCCTCTTTTCCAATATTGTTTCAGATCATTTAAATATTCTAATACCTAAAAATGACAGAAAAAAAAAAAAATCTAATACATTCTCTGATTTACAGATTCTCTCAGGAATGGCTATACTGTTTGTTTACCATTCTGCCAAGGTAGAGTTTAATCACAGCATTCACAGATTATATATTTGTCATTTCAAGCATTTAAGAGTTGTCCTCAAAGATCCATGACAGGAGGAGATTTATGTTGAGTTATAAATGTGAATCACTGCGAGGTAGAGGCTGATATGCAAAAGCAAAGTAGTAAATAATCACAGCTACTGGTAGAGCATCCATTACAGTTCAGATACGAGATTACGGACATGTACTCATCCCTCCCTTTCTTTTAAAATTTCTATTAAAATGATAGCAAAGATATCTCACAAGAAAGAGGAAAAAAAAAGATAAATGCAGAAGAATATCCATTATAGCACAGGAGAGATGCAAACGTGAGATGCAAATGTGTATTAGTTCTCAGTTAAAAAGCCTATTTTTTAAAGTCATGCAAATAGCATACTTCTTTTTAAAATCTGAGATTATGTTTTGAAATTAATCGTTTATTTTCATAAAGAATACTGGAGGTTTTACACACATCCAAGGAGCTCTGGTAGCGTAGTGGTTACGAATCGGGCTGCGAACCTTAAGGTCAGCGGTTCGAAACTACCAGCTGCTCCGCGGGAGAAAGATGAGGCTTTCTACTCCCGTAAAGATTTACACCCTCGGAAACCCTGTACAGGGTCGCTATGGGTCGGAACCGACTCGACGGCACTTAACAACAACAACAATCAACAGATGGAATGCAGAACCTAATTTCTTATGAAGACTTACAAAGTAAATAGCTAGGCCTTTGGAAAAAATCATTTACCCCTTTCTCAGAGCTTTTCTGCCTATAAAAAGGACAATTTGGATTATGTTAGTCCCTTCCAGCAGTAAAATTTAATGATGGATTAAATAGGTTTGTAACCAGATGGACTTAGAAATCCAATTTACAAATTAGATGGGACCTATTTGAATAATTCGCCTTTCTTTAAGGAAAATTACAAGTTAGTCCCAAGTCTATTAATGCTCCTCACTTATTTTTCTGAAAAAATGCTTCAAGTTACAAAAAAAATCAAAACCAAACATGCAGAAAAATTATAAAGCACCTACCTTTGCATCATTTATGTCAAAAACATCACACCAAGGAGATTTAATGCCTTTAATTGCCAGATCAAATGAACAGGTGAAAAAAGCTACTTGAATTAAATCTGAAAGAAAAGTACATTTTTTGTGGGTCAATATGTTCTGCAATTTTTCAAAGGCTAAATAAGTATTTATAGAACACCATGTGCAGCACAGTTGAAGATACTCGATATGCTTAGATTGGAGAATTCAGTTTTTGACTATCGAGGAATAAAGACTTGCTCTGTACAATTCAAGGGGGAAACTGGAACGTTCAGGAAGAGCAATTAAGACTTCAGTCCAATGACTCGAATACATACTTTGCTCAATAAAATAGTAACTTTTTTTTTCTGTTTTTAAAAGTAACATATTTGTTAAGAGCCTGATTGCCTATTAAACCCAACACAGAATGTCGGCTCCAAAGACCTATCTATCTATGTAAAATATACTGTGATCTCATTAACTGGGGTGGGGTGGGGGGGGGGGGGGGAGACACAAGATAAAAAGTTATATAAAGTTTTCACTCCCAAATTGGAAATAACAATTAATATTTATTGTTTAATTTTATAACTATTAAAAAAAATAAAAGTACAAAGAGGATATGAAAAGGGAGAGAAGACTTGTAGGAGAAAGGAAAAGAAAGGGCAAGTGAGGAGTAAGTGCCAAGTCAGAGGCAGATGGGAGGCCTAAAGAAGGAGAGAGAGGGAAGCTAAGAGGAAGAGAAACATCCGCATTTCAAACTGAGCTGCTAAAAGGGGCAATGAGATTTTAAAGTAAGCTGATGGGTTTTTCTTTTCATTGCTAATTAGCATTTAGATACATTTGGGTTTTGAGGTGCAAGGATAAAGGAATAGGTACTTGTGCATCAAATATCATTGTGAGCGACAAATATCTTTGTCAGCAGCAAATAAAAGCACTGCTCTATAGCTCTATAGGGGTATGACACTGAAGAATGAGCACTGGATTGCAAATCACAAGGTCGGCAGTTCAAACCCACCAGATGCTCCACAGAAACCTGATACAGGGTCACTGAGTCAGAATCGACTCAGTGGCACTTAACAACAACACAGTGGGTCAAGGACTCCTAGTGTGGTGCTGTACAATCAGCAGTGGACTTCAAACCACAAAGTCGGCAGTTCAAACGCATCAGCTACTCCTCTGAAACCTTACCCAGGGTCGCCATGAGTCGGAACCAACTTAACAGCACTTAAAACAACATAATGGGTTAAATGTCGGTCTGCTAACTGCAAGGTCAGCCACTCCATGGACGAAAGACGAGGCTGTCTGCTTCCATAAAGATTTAGTCTCAGAAACCCTATAAAGCAGTATTCTGTCTTATAAACTTGCTAGGAATCAGAACCAACTCTACAGCACTTAACAACAACAGATCAAAAAACTACATGCATCATGCTTACTACTTTCAGATTGATTTTCTTCAGGTTTACATTATTCAATGTACAAGATTCTTGCTATAGTGTGTCACACCCTCCCTTTCTTTTTAGGGGGGTATAAAAACCCCAAGCCACTGCTATGGAGTCTATTTCAACCCATAGCAACACGACAGGACAGAGCAGAACCACCCCACAGGATTTCTAAGGCTGTAATCTTTTTGGGATCCTTGTGTGGCGCTGTAGGATAAGCACTGGATTGTTAATCACAAAGTTGGCTGTTCAAAACCACGAGCTGGTTCTCAGAAACCAGATCCAGGTCATTATAGTCGGAACTGACTCGACAAGCATTTAATAACATCACACTACAGTGATTTCCCCCCGGTTAGAACATTCAACTTACAGACAACTTGTTGTTATTGTTAAGTGAAATGGAGTGGGTTTCGACTCATAGCAACCCTGTATGAGGTTTCTGAGGAGCAGCTGGTGGGTTTGAATTATCACCTTGTGGTTCAAATCAACTTTGAGGCCTATTGCTTATCCTACAGTCCCACACCAGGACTCCATATTTGCAAATATATTATATTTATATTATATACCATCTTAGGGGAATTCTTTAAACTCAAGATTAGTGCATAAAGCATTTAATTGGTACCACTTGCCCTAGAAGTGGAGTGGAAAGGGTTTCTGGTGGGTCTGAACTGCTGGCCTTGCAGTTAGTAGTCCAATGCTTATTCTACGGCTTATTTCCTGTTTTTTCATTTTCAGAGTACAAAAACTATTAAAACCAGAAGCTCAAATGAAAGATAATAGGCATATTACCTGCATTTAAATCATTTACTGGCACTTGTAAATTACGTGCAACTTTTTCCAAAATGTCCTGCATTTCTGGCCCAGTTTTGAAGGCTTCTACGTGAGAAAGAGCCGTGGCATTCCTTTCCACTTCAGCTAAAAACTTCTTGCAATGATCAAAGAACCTCATTAGTTTATCATCAATTCTTGGAGGTCCACATTCCATGTCTGAAAGAAGCAATCACACAGATGACAATTTAGAAGTCTTAACATTTCTTCGTCTGAACTTTGAATACAGAAATGCTAACAACTTATTTATCCAAATGCATAAAGTAAGCACACAGTGATCAATACTAACATATTATAATCATTGTGATTCATGAGATAGAATGCTAGAAAAGACTAAACAAAGAGAAAGTATCAAATATACAAAAAAATGTGTTATAGCCATGTTGTTAAGTGCCATCAAATCAGTTCTGACTCATAGCCACCCTGCATAGGGTTTCCGAGGAATAAACGGAGGGTTTGAACTGCCAACCTTGTGGTTCACAGTCCAATGCTGATCCTACAGAGCCACACCAGGAATTCATTATAGTAATACTACACAACAAAATAAAGATAAGTGAAATGACTTTTCTTTAAAGAAACCAAAAGTAATTGGAAAAGCAACAGAGGAGAAGAAAAAAAGTAACTTCCATATAAGTGCTGTTTCTATCAGGAACAGAAATTTTGATAAAGCAAACCAAAAATTAACAGTTTCTAATTACAATGTCAGCTTGAGGACCAAGGTGCGCCTAACCCAAGCCATGGTATTTTCAATAACCTCATATGAATGCAAAAGCTGGACAGTGAATAAGGAAGACCATAGAAGAATTGATGCTTTTGAGTTATGGTGTTGGAGGAGAATACTAAAAGTGCCATGGGCTGCCAAAAGAACCAATAAGGTCTATTTTGGAAGAAGTGCAGCCAGAGTGCTCCTTGGAGGCCAAGATGGCCAAACCTCGTCTCTCATACTTTGGAAATATTTTCAAGAGAGACCAGTCACTGGAGAAAGATAACATGTTTGGTACGGTGGAGGGTTAGAGAAAAAGAGGAAGACCCCCCAATGAGATGGACTGGCCAAGTGGCAGCATCAATGAGCTCAAGTGTGGTAACAGTAGTGAAGTTGGCCCAGGATCGGGCAGTGTTTCGTTGTGCTGTGCATAATGCCGCTATGAGTCGTTACCGACGTGATGGCACCTAACAACAACAATTACAATGTGAGGGGTAATTAAGTACACTACATGTTTTTCTACTCTACAGCAAAGTCTATTTTACTTTCTCAATTAACTTTCCAACCTTGTGTTACTTTATAAAACAATTTGCTTTGGACAGAAACTACAGATAACAGCACAAAATACATGAAGTGTTTTAGTTCCACGGTAATTTCATTGTGCCAGGTGCTTCTGATTTGGTTTATCTTGTAATTGAAGTTCCCAGATAACTTTACATCTAAAATTCAAAAAGGTACATTACTTCCTCAATTTGATAATAAAAACTTACGTATTTAAACTATAAAGCATTTGGTAATCACTTCTTAAAATACTGAGGTGTCTTTTAAGTTTTTTCCAGAGTCATATTCAAAACATACATCTCAATCATCGTTTCTCCAATAATTAACATGAAAAGAATACACCACTTCTGTATACAAAATTGAATTCACATATCGTTTTGCATTGGTGTGTGTATTCAGTGGGCCCTGAAATGGATCATTCAGTTCATCATGATAGTTAAATGGATTATGGTGGTGGTTGTGTGCTGTGGTGTCGGTTCTGACTCATAGCAACCCTGTATAGGGTTTCTTTACAGTAGCAGAAAGCCTCATCTTTCTCACGCTATATGGATTATAATTCTTAAGAAAATACATTGACTAGTAAATACATAGCATCAAAATGATTGCGCATATGTATCTGGATAAACCCTGGTAACATAGTGGGCTCAATGGGCTGCTAACCACAGATCAGCAGTTCAAATCCACCAGCCACTCTGAGGGAGAAGATGAGACTTTCTGATTCCATAAATATTTACAGCTTCAGAAACCCTACACAGGCCCAGCAGCAACAGCATGATCTAATTACTGCTAATCTTAAAGCAAAAATATTGTTCAGTTTCAGTAAGAATACAAAATCTAATTCAGAGGTCTCCCTCAAAAGCCTTGTTATACACAAAAGGCAAACCCCTTAACTACAGACAATAATGAAGAGGTTAGGCTCAATGAGATGAACACTCGTGAGGGATAAACCCACCCTGACCTATTGTGTGCCTGGCTTTGTATTTCTAAGCACACGACAATTCTTATAATGCCATATAAAGGCAAAAATTCATTCATCCCTGGAGGTTCCTTTGTGGTACACACTGTATATCTAATGTGCAATGTCAAAGTATGCTTTTACAACTCGGTGAATTTAATAGACCTATGGGAGAAATTTTGACAGTGTATGGGTGTTGCTAATGGTTTGCTCTTGGCAAATAATCCTTGCTGAAGAAAGGTCTGCCTGAAAGGTCTGGTGATCGTCCATAAGATTAAAAGCCACCACCGTCATATCAGAAGTCCTACCGTGATACTGTAGGATAAGCACTGGACCTCAAGGTTGGTCTGAATGCAAGATCGGTGGTTCAAACTTACCAGCCACTCTTCAGAACCTATTCAGGGTCACTATGAGCCGAAAACACTAAACAACTGTGAAGTTGATTAAAGCTCACAGTAACCCTATAGGATAGAGAAGAACTAAAATTTTTACGGAAGCTGACTGCCAGCTGGTTAATTCACTGTCAACTTTACATTTGAGCTCAGTGCTTTTACTGCTGCATCACCAGGGCTCCTCTACATTAAGATTACAGCCACGGAAAACCCATATGGAGTACACTTCTACTCAGAAACACATGGGGTGGCTAGGAGTTGGATTCAACTTGTCAGCAACAGGTTGTTTTCTGGTTTTGGTACCGAGGATTTTCATCCATGTTAAGCGGGAAAGGCTAGCTATTACTAAAAAACACATTTTAACAAGTGACTCAACAAGCCAATTGAATCACTCACAAAGTGGGGGAACACCTTGAGGTGGAGATGGTTGAACGACTTCAGAGAGGACGCTACTGGAAAAATAACTGACCAACCTACCTCTAATTGATTTGTTTGTCACTTGGACTTTGAAACTAAGTGATGTTTCTCATCTCTACTCTGACCTTCAAATGAGTCCTCAAGAAACTATTAATATTTGTCATTTCTCTGGTACAAAATGCTACATTTTTATTCTATCAGGCATATCCCAGTTCAGGGGGAAGCAGCACAGTGCTACGGTTAAGAGAATAAGCCCTAAATTAGACTACTTAGGTCCATAATTAGCAGTATGAAATGAAACAAATCATTTAACAAAGGTTTCAATATCCCAAATGTGCATTTGGGGGCATGGGCTTCAAATTCCATTGTGAGACAATGGAATTAAAAGATAATGGAATTTTTCCATCCACTTTTTGAAGACCCTTCCTACTATCCATCTCAGAGAGCTTCAGTGAGAATTGAATGAAATTGGTATGAGATATATCTGACTATTCAGACATTCTTGGAGGGAAAAAAAATACCCCACTATTTTGGAAAAGAACATCGGATTCCGAGTTTGAATCTAGTTCTCAAACTGGTGACGAGCAATCAGCAAGGCTGGTTTCTTCACCAGGGAAATAAAAGGGCCCATTAAATGATGTTTCAAACTTTGTGAATTCTTAAAGGAGGTATTAGTAAGATATAGCCTGTCACTATGGACCACAGTCACAATGAGAACTATATAAAGTATGAGAGAGCTTTAAGAAAAGTCCATGGGAAAAAAACAACACACCATTATCTTTTAATTCTATTCTCCACAAATTTTTTGAAGTCTCCTCTGTAACAGATACCATGTTTGGTAAGGTGGAGGATCAGAGAAAAAGAAGATTCCCAACAAGATGGACTGGCCAAGTGGCAGCATCGATGGACTCAAGCGTGGCAACCGTAGTGAGGTTGGCCCAGGATCGGGCAGTGTTTCATTCTGCTGTGCATAAGGTCACTATGAGTCGGTACCGACTCGATAGCACCTAAGAACAACGGTAACAGAAGACGGCAGGGCAGTGAAGACAAATTGAGAGTTTCTGAAAAAGTTGCTAAGTAAAAACCCAACTAGCATCAGAAGCAAAACCTAAAGAAGCAAGTTTTATAATAAAAGGGGGGGAAAGCACACCAATTGTAATGCCTGGAGAGTGGAAAATGGGACGGGTTGGCACTGAGGGGTACAATTCAATTTGGGAACAAAAGACTGAAAATTGCAAGACACCTGTCTCCTTTTCTGCTGGGTCCTCAATGTCCACTCCAGTGGCCGGCACGTAGAACGTACTAAAGGCAAAAATAGATGGCTGGATGGGTGAGCAGGGAGCCGGCCGAGTCCTGAGCATCCTGCACCTTGGAGGACACTTCCGGAGGGGTGGCGTGTGGACTGGGGACACAGGGAAGTGAGAATAGGCTGGGGCTCCAAAGAACCTGAACCAGAGTAGAGGGGGACCTATGGGGTGGATATGACAGCCGGGAGATCACCTGTGACGTTGGGCAGCAGCTGGCCGGGATTGTAGAGCTGCCAGAGTCCCTGCAGGAAGGCGGTGCAGCTGTCTACGCAGCGATGTTTGGAGCTGGTGACGAGCTGCAGGCGGTCGAAATTCTCGCGGCAGAAGAGCGCAGGGAAGAGCGAGGCCAGGCGCTGCGCCAGCTGTTGCATGTCCTGCCGCCCCTTCTCCACCAGCTGCCCGTCCATCCACTCTGCGTACCACAGCGGCCTGTTGGTCAGCGTGGCGCCCACGTCGAATGCGCTAGTCTGGCAGGATCGGCGGGCCTGCAGAAGCCCGTGCAGCTGCCGCAACTTGCAGATCTGCTTGGCCGTGGGGTAGCGGGTACCATGGCGGATGACGGCAACCAGCTGCAGCGGTGTGCAGGTCCCCTCCAGCAGCTTCGGGTCCCGCTGCGGCGCCTCGGGGTCCGGCACCAGCCCAGGGTTGACATCCTCATAGCGGGTCTTGGTGCCGAAGTAGGGGCTGAGCGGTGAGGCCACCGGGCTCCCAGACTCCAGAAAGGAGCAGCGCGCCAGCGAGGAGAGGAGCACCGCAGCCAGGGCCGCAGCTGGAACTACGGAGGCCTGGAGGAGGCAGCGAGGACCGCGGAGCATCGTGTGGTGAGCCCGCCGAGGGCTATGCTCCAACAGTTGATTCCTCACTTCCGGCGCCGACAGGCAGGGGGCGGATCTGGAGGGCCCTTCCGGTCACGGTTGGGTGGTTGGGTTGTTCGCCCGACGCTCGGGCTTTGAAGAGGCTGTGGCGACTGGCTGAGAGTTGTAGGAGCCTGGACCTGTGACTGAGCGCTGGCCCTGAGGCGCCTCCCAGAATTGAGGTTCAGGTGGAGCTGGCGTCAGCTGGCCCTCGAGCGTGGGCGAGTTTCCTCTTAAGATAAAGCTGCAAAAGATGTTTGAATTTTCCAGGGTGTGAATGAAGCTTGAGTAAGCCTCTTCCTACTCGGCGGCCTAAACAGGACACCTTTGAACTACTGACTGGATACCACCATCACTATTCTACCGTGTTTTTTCAAAATGTAATATCTGAAAGTATGCAGCGTCAAATCCATCTGAGGCATTTGTGTTCGTTTTATTAGGTGCCCTGGAGTCAATTCCGATTCCTAGTGACCCTGTGTACAACAGAAACAGGGTTGTTCCTGTACCATCACAAACTTTGAGCTCATTGTGGCAACCTCTTTGTCAATCTATCTGGAGAGATGCTTGTGGAAAATGCAAATCTTTAGGCTTTGCTCCAGGGTGCCTCCGGAAGCCCAAGATTTCTCTTCCTCTAAGACTTTGCAATAAACCGTGCCTTGTAAGGCAGAGACGATCTTGGAAAGGGACTCCCCCCAAATTTAATGTCTGAACTTTTGGTCGTCTCTGCCTAACATAGCTAGACAGCACCCAAAAGTTCTGTGCTTGATAACGAAGGCGTGGAGAGTAGAGACATAGCAATTCTGATACTTGGGCCTGCTGCGGCATGGCCCCACAGCTTTACTCCTTTATTAAATATGAGCCAATCTGCTTGTGAAGCAAGCATGCTCTTTATTTTACCACCAGTCCAGGTTAGTGTTTTTGTCTTAAGGTATTGATCAGAATCTTTACCTGACCTACAAAGTCATAAATCCAAACGGTACTTTTGTTTTCCATGCTTTTCTAAGCCTCGCTTTCTCATTATGAAAGCACACTGACTGCTGACAAGTTAATTCAGACTCACCCAACGTGTTATAGAAGAAAGCTATTCTATTGGATTTTCTTGGTGGTAATCTTCATGGAAAAAGATTGTCAAACCTTTCCTCCGCAGTGTGGCTGAGTGAATTCAGACTGCCAACTTATAGGTTAGTAGTTCCGCACAAGCCATTTGCACCACCCAGAGACCTCTGTGTCTCTGGTACTCTAGGGAAACTAGCCTAGGTACAGTGACTTACAGAGTTAACCTTTTCCTTAACATTTTTTTTTTTCTTCCAGTTTTACTTTTATTTATTTATTTATGTGTAATGTTTTATTGTGAATTATGTGGTAGTTTACATGGGAGAACATTAATTTTACATTTATCCTGCCTTACATCGTTTCATTGCCATAGTTACAATCCCCTACATGCATCATCAACCAACCAAATGGTATACAAGCCTGCCCTCCCCCACCTTTTCCTTAACTTTTAAGGAAGAATTTTATTTAGACAAGAAGTAAAGGAGACTATCTTCTAAAGGAACATTGAAAGGAGGGTATACATGTAGATAAATTCTAGATCTAGAAGGAGGGAGTTCATAGACTTCAAGCCTGGTGCCTTCAGTTTCCTCAGTGACAGAGGAAGTAAGATTGTCTGAAGAGATCAGGGGAGTAGAAGTTATGTGTTATGAAAAGTAGAAATAGTTTGGATTTGTAACTGCAAGAAGTGGGAATGGATTTGTAACCGAGAGGAACAGAAAAACAAAAGATTGAATGGTCAGCTCTGAGACTCTGAGAATGAATGGGCTATTACCCCAAAATGAACATTACCTATTGTGTATTTCAGTATGGAAAAGAAAAAAGTTGAGTGCAATTTTTCTATATTATTCTAATATAGCCCTTCTGATTTGGTGCTGTGGGTTAATGCACCAGACTGCAAAACCGTTTGAACTACCAGGTCAGAGGTTCAAGCTCACCAGCTGCTTCTCAGAAACCCTATACAGGGTTGCTATGGATTGGAGTCTACCCGAAGGCACTTATCAACAACAACAACAACAATCCACTGCATTAAAGAATATGCTGGCTATCATGCTACCAAATTATTCGTTTGACATCTAAAATAATCATTCTACTCTTAAGATTGAATGGTAACATATATAGTATTTTTTAAGTTACAGGCATCTGCTACACTTTTAAAGAGGTTATTAAGATGGTTTTCTGATGAAGAGACACTAAAGAGGAGGGAAAAGCTAAATTTTGAAGAGAAAACGTTAGGTTGTCTATGTCAACATTGTTGTTGTTGTGTGCCATTGAGTTCCAACTCACAGCAACCCAGTATAGGGTTTTTGAAAGCAGCTGGTTGGTTTAAACTGCCGACCTTGTGCTTACCAGTCCAGTCCTTATCTTACAGCACCACACCAGAGCTCTATGTAAGCTTATAAAATAGTAATTAATTAAGAGCATGGTCTCTGGAATTAGACTTCCAGAATTTTGAATTTCACACTGATTGCTAAATATCTGTGAAATACTGAACAATATTTTTCACTTCCAAAGTAGGGGAAACAATACCTACTTTGTAGAATGAGAAAATTAAATGTAATAATCTAAATAAAGGCTTTATACAGTTCCCAGCACACAAAAAAATAGAGTTATAGTGTTTCTTATTAACCCTGTTCTTATATCAAGGAAACTAGCAGTTCCCAGTTTTTCATAGATGTCTATTATCTCACAACTACATTCAGTAACTAACTTTGAGCCTATGCCAAGAAGGCGTTAACTGTACTGTTATCTGAAATGTCAGTGGTCTGAACCCACTAGTGGCTCCCCTTAGAGAAAGATGTCTCTGTCTGCTGTTGTGAAGATTACAGACTTGAAAACCCTATGTGTTTTCTACTTTGTCCTATAGGATCAACCTGAGTTGGAATTGACTTGATAACAGAGTTTTGGTTTTATCTTAAGGTCCTGCTGTTGCAGCATTCCATTTTTATTTTAAGCTTTGGCAGTTGTTAATTTAGTGCTTATCTTTTGTTTCAATAGAAGAAACTGACAAAAGAGGGATTAATGTGTAAATACAGAGCTGGAGTACTCCATGCTTAGCAGCAATCCCTTTCATCTTCCTTGGATGTGCAGAAAGCATAGAGCACAAGCTCCAGTAACTACAAGAAAACTTTGCTCAAAAGCAACCCTACCATCATCAATAACGCACCATTACCCACTAGCCACTAAGATGTCCTCCATCATCATAACACTAAGGCAACTTGTTTAAACGTGTATTTCAATTTATGTACAGAACATTACTGAACCACACACAACTACAGAAGTGAGCTGCTGTTTTAGATTCTCTACTATACCCTGCCAAGAGAGATCTTTTACAATGACTCACCTGCTAATAAGTTGTACTGTGGTGGTTTGAATGTTGCTATGATGCCGGAAGCTACGCCACTAGTATTTCAAATATCAGCAGAGTCATGCATGGTGAACAGGTTTCCATGGAGTTACTAATCTTAGACAGATTAGGAAGAAGGATTTAGGGGTCTGCTTCTGAAAAAATAGACCAGTGAAAACCTTATAATAGCAGTGGAACAGTGTCTGAGCTAGTGCTGGAGGATGAGCCCCTCAGGACAGAAGACTCTTCAAATATAACTGGGGAAAAGTGGCCTCCTCAAGGTAGAGACATGGATGATGTGAACAGAGTAAAGCTGTCAGGTCCTTCATTTGCTAGTGGGACTAAACTCAAAATGAGAAGAAATAACTGCAACCATCCATTAATAATCAGAATGTGGAATATACAAAGTAGGAATATAGGGAAATTGGAAGTTGTAAAAAATGTAATGGTATGCATAAAGATTAATAACTTGGGCATTAGTGAGCTGAATTGGACTGGTATTGGTCACTTTGAATCAATGCAGTCTACTATGTGAGCAATGACAAATTGAGAAATGATGTCACTTTCATCATAGAAAAAGATCATTTCAAGATCTATTCTGAATTACAATGCTGTCAATGGTAGGGTAATATCCACATGCATACCTAGAAGGTCAGTTGATACAATGGTCATTCAAATTTATGCTCCAACCACTGAAGCCAAAGATAAATAGAAAAATTTTACACACTTCTGCAGTCTGAACTTGATCAAACCTGCAATCAAGATGCATTAATAATTACTTGTGATTGCAATGCAAAAGTTAGAAACAAGGATCCATAGTTGCAAAATATGGCCTTGAAATAGAAATGATGCTAGAGATCACATGATAGAATTTTTTCAAGACCAATAATTAATTGCAAATTCTTATTTTCAGTGTATTTGGAAAACACCTGTACCTTGCCAGATGGAATACACAGGAATCAAATCAGCTATACCTGTGGAAACAGATAATAGAGACGCTCCATAACTTCATCAGTCAGAACAAGGCCAGGGTTCGACTATGGAATAGACCATTACTTGCTCCTATACATAAGCATGACATCCTGGTATGGCACTGAGGGTTAATGTGCCAGATTGCAAAGCCATTTGAACTGCAACATTGGCGGTTCAAGCTCACCAGCTGCTCCTTAGAAACCCTATACAGGGTCACTATGGGTCGGAACCGACTCGACGGCATTTAACAACAACAATAACATACATCAGTATCAAAGGAAGACTCATCAACAACCTGCATTATGCAGACGATGCAACATGTTTGCTGAAAGAAGAAAACTGAAAATACTGATGAAGATCGAAGACCAGAGTCTTCAGTATGGATTATAACGCAATGTCAAGAAAACAAAAATCCTCACAACTGGACCAATAAATAACATCTTGATAAACGGAGAAAGATTGAAGTTGTCTAAGACTTCATTTTACTTAAATCCATAATCACTCATAGAAGCAGCAGTTAAGAAGTCAGACGACGTATTGCATTAGGCAGATCTGCTGCATAGACCTCTTTAAAGTGTTCAAGAGTAAAGTT